CCTTCGCTGAGCCTCCGCAACACTCCTCCAGCACTCTCGGGATCTCGGGAGAATGGCCCGGCACTGCGAGATGCATTGTTACAACTATTGTATACATTTCCGACCATGAGACTGGGGCTATACCCTCTACAACACATACCTGGCAGTTCGACGCGCCACATACATCTTCCAGCCGCTCAATGCAAGCTCTGCATCTGGACAAGCACGTCCTTCACAGTCGCCAACGGCAGCGCAATCCGCTCCGCCTCGATCTCGCCCTCCAAGAACTGCTCCGGCTGAGGGTGCGTTAGGAACTTCTCCAAGAAGTCCCCATCCAGGAACCCGTACGACGCCTCCGCGTCCGTATGCCCGCGCGGTGCTGCCGGGGCTCTATACCTGTCGTAAACGTTCAATCAGCACGGCATTTCCAAGACAAGCAACCAGCAAGCGTACTTGGTGTGGTTGACGTCCCCGGGGCCAGTGATGGTCTTCGCCATGTTGCGCTGGAGCGCGGTCATGTGCAGCGACATCGTGTCGGTGATGTCCATGATCGCGCCGATGCGGCCGGTGGACGTGAAGAAGACATGGGTGGCATGCACCGCCTGGTCTTCCGCGACGTCCGCAGACGAGAGAGCGCCTGTGCACGTGTGTGCGTGATGGTCAATAGCGTGTACTTGGGAGTACGAAGGGGCAAGGACGTACCCCTGATGAACTTGTTGACCACGTCGTCGATGTGGTACACGCCGTCCTTCTCGAGGATGCTCCGCTGTGGACCCCTCTGCAACGTGAACGAGAACAAGTTGCAGTCGCTCTGCGAGGTCAATGCGTCAGTCCCGAAGACCCACTCGCATCCACGTAACGCCTCACATTCGCGCCAATCACGCCGTTCCCGGTGCCCTCGATAGCGGTAGGCCAGAGCGGGCCGTAGTCCCGCGCAACACTCTCGAGCCTGGTCGCGTCCTGCGTCACTCTTACCACGGATACGGAGCTGATTGCGTCGCCGACGAGGATATACTGCCCGTCCCATACCAGGTTCGTCACAAAGTGGTTGTGGTTCCACTCAGCCGCCTGGTCAAGCACGAGTGGCAACGCGTCCCCAGGGTTTGCTTGACGGATCTTGTAGAGAACGACCTATCACAGCAACCGACTGTCAGCTATCTATATGTATCCTGGAAGGAGTAATCACCTACAGAGGTATTGATAGCGGCCGCTATGACGTTCTCGGACACGTGCACGAGCGCATACACGCAGCCCCTGACCTTCAGCGAGGCCAGTGTCGTCAAAGAACGCACACCATCCGCCGAGGACAGCGAAAAGAGCACGATCCGCCCGCTCGACGGCTCCCGCTCCTCTGGACGGATGACAACCGTGCCCAAGCAGAACGCGGGGCTGTGACCTGTGCCCTCTCCAGGCAGAGCGAGGACCGATGACGGTTCCTCGCTGAGATCGCATTGGAAGTGATGCAACTCTGTATGATGATAGTCATTACTCGCCTAGAGAGTAGGTATAGGAGGAACGTACGTTGGAAGGAGTGCGCATCAAGCAGCTTGAACGAGCCGGTGATGTCTTCGTTGTCGCCAATGCGCCCCGGGGAGGTACGGGTACACGCGACGCCAAACACTTGCTGTTGGTTGTGGTACGCCATCTTCCTAGGGTTATCCATGCCGAGGGAAATCTAAGAAGGTAGGGGTCATCTTGCAGTTCAAAGCACCTCCAAAACGGTACCTACAGTACGAATCTGCATCTTGTCCACGCCGCGCACGTTCCCAATCAGCAGCCCAGAGGAGGTCGCAATGACCAAGCAGGACGGGAACGCCGGCGCGTTCAGCGTCGCCCCCTTCACCACGTTCTACACACACAAAGCCACGATGAGTATCCTCCCTCGTGTCGCTAGGACAAACCACAACAAAGACAAACCTTGACGCCGACCGGCGACGGCCGCACGCGCTGCCGGTCCCAATACAGCACGTTCGCGCGCGCGCCGCTCGCGAGCACGACCGTCCGGCCGTCGACCTCGCACAGCGACACGCTCGCGGGCGCGTTCCCCAGCGCGCTCGCCTTCCGGTCGAGCAGCTGCCCGTCGCGCAGCGCGAACGTCGCGACGGTCCCGTCCGCGAGCCCCGCGACGAGGTGCGGGCGGAAGTCCGCGCTGTCCTTCCCCCGCGCGCTCGCGCTCGCGCTCGTGCCGAAGTTGTGGAGGAGGAGCGAGCGCGGGAGTGCGGGCAGCGTGGCGTCGCAGAGCGTGCCGAGGTACGAGTCGGGCGTGTCGAGCGAGAGAACGGCGATCTTGTTCGAGCCCCAGAAGGAGACGGCGATCGCGGTCGCGTAATTCTTTGTCCGGTCGAACGGCGTGCATGAGATGGCGCAGATCTCGTCGGGGAAGTCGCGCGACCTGACAGAGACGCGTTAGTCCACCCAATATAGGAAGGACGGGCGATACGCACTTGAGCAGCTGGACGGTATCGTTGGCGCCCAGGTTGAGCAAAGCCAGTCGACCACCGCTGAGGCCCACGACAAACTGGCTGGGACTCATCGCAGCAGCGACAACCTCCCTGCCAGCGAAGCTCGGGTCTTCCAACTTCTTCGGATACCAGCCCCCAGCAACGGACGAGAACGTGTGCAGTGCGGGGTCGTGTTCAACAAGGTGTACACCTTCTGGCGTGATCTGCACCGCGAGCGGAGAATCCACGTAGGAAGAGGTCGAGCGACCACCAACCGTCGTCGTCTGCCGCCGAGGGATGTTCCCAACAGCATAGGTGGGGACGTGCGTGGCAAAGCCCGCGATGGACGGCTCGATGTTCGTCAGTGTCTCCTTGCCGGAGAAGGAGAAGAGTAGCGTCTCGCGCAGGGTGGAAACCACTAGGTGCGTATGCGTCCTGCTGCGCCGTTAGCGATATCATGGTATGCAGTAGACCGTGCCACTCACGCTTCGTTGAATCGGGGCCGTACGGGCCAAACATCTGTAATCCCTGGCAATCCGTCTAGCCTGGCTTGCTCCTGGAAGTCTGCCTCTGTACGGATGACGCGCAGAGACCCGGTATTGTGGGCCCCAGAGGAGGTAATGACCTGGGGCTATGGGACAGAGGTAGGTCATATTGGAGTACAGTGCGGGAGCGAGCCGTCTTACCTGACCGCTGCCATCAATATCGGCCAGGACAGCGTCCATGATCGGGGCAATGTTGTCGTGCGTTTGTAGCACTTCCACAAATTTCCCCTTCGTTTGAACGACTCTGCCATCCCTAGGGGACGCTTGGTCAATGTCACCGAGACGGCCCTTACCCTTGCCAGATGTCGACGCCAGCGCGGACGAAGGTACAGTTGACACGCCTGTGGGAATCGGCAAGGTTTCCGTGCTTGCATTGGCGATTGGCGCGGGGTGTATGCGCAGCAACTGCGAGTCCCCGAAGTGCGAGCCGACGTACAGCACTTGCGAAGAGAGGTATGCCAATGTGGTCGGCGGCGAAACCTGCGATTGGTGTAAGCTATGCGACCAGTCTGCAGCTGGTACCGACATTGACATACCTCTCCAAGAGGCAATAGTGTGAGACCGACATTCTCTGCGTTGAATGCCAGTAAGGCCAGCCGCCCAAATGCATCGCCCAGCAACACCCGTCGACACTTCGCGTCTACGGAGCACCATCTGTATCTTGGTCAGCTCATGTGGTTCATCTCCTCTGTCCCTCTTACTCACGCCGTAATCGCGTTCCAGGGCCACTTCACAGTTGCCCTCGCCTTGATCTTCCTTGATTCGCGCTCCTTCTCCTTCTCCTTGGCTTTCGAGACCTCGGACTGCACGCCGCTAGAGAGTCGCTTGCTCAACCGTCGCTGCTTCTCTTTCCGCGTCTCCTGCTGATGCTGCGATGCAGTCTCGAAGAACGCGACCTTCCTACCGCCGAGGACGAGCACGCCCCCGCGATGCGCCGGCCCTGTCTCATCCTCATCGTCCTCTTCCGAGCCCGTCGAGTGGGGTGGAACGGCTACCAGTAGAAGCGGGTGCTCGATCGAGGGAAATGTGCGCTCGGATAGCACGGTGGTGATGAGCATGTTCGAATGCGCCGGGGAGAGCTCATAGTCGTCCAAGAGGACATCTCTAGAGAGCAGCTGAATCTGGCGCTTGTGGTTGAGATGGAGGAGAGCAAGCGTGTAGCGATCCTCCTTGGCGGTGTGGAGGAAGGTGAACGCGAGCAAGTTGATTTCCGGCAGCCTGGGGTAGGACGCCGTTAGCCTGGGTGAGGCGAGATGTAAAGCGGGACGTACGAGACGTCGAAGGCTTGTCCGAGCTCTCCGTTCTCTATGCGCACAACCTTCAGTTTTCCTGCGTAACAACTTGCTATGGCGATCTGCCCTGTGGGATCGATCTGCACCTCCGTCACGAATTCGGCCTGGCGCGCCGCGGGATCGACGAGAGAGCAAGAGCTCTCGGGTTTAAGCAAAGAGATGCCATCCTCGACTGTGTATGTCATTACAACCAGCTTCGCGTCCGGATGGTCCGTCATCACCAGCAGATTAGACTGGCCTCCGTCCTGCGTTCCCGCGCTAACATTAGCCTCAAGGCAAGGGGATATACAAGCACGGCTGACATACCCCAACAGGGATGGCCTGCAAGCCAACGACTCTTCCCCACATATCGGCAGTGCATTCCAGCTTCAAGCCATCTGGCTGGACAGAGTACACCTCTATTCGTTCTGTCTTTGCGACCGCCAGATGCTCGAGGGTGGTATCAGGCGTGAGGTGACATTTGAGCGAGCGCGAGACGGACGAGGAGGGGTGGAAGGTCCCGACCACTCTCATGATGACCCTTCCTCCAGTAGCAGTATAGCCAAGACGGAGAGAGCCTGTCGAGGTGAGCAGAGGAACAGTACAGTGCACACACGCAGTCGACTCCCGCGAGAACGAGAACCTGCGAGTGCCAGTCCCCGCCGCGAGCTTACAGAGCCGGCATTCCCGATCGCAGACGTCACCTCTGCCCTCTGCGGCCCAAAGTCCGGACCGGCATACGCTTGGGGGGAAAGATAAAAGTATGACGACAGTGGGATTCGAACCCACGCCCTTTCGGACCAGATAGGACAACATCCTGATTCTGGCGCCTTAGACCGCTCGGCCATATCGCCCTGGGAAACTGTCGGTCCTATAGCATCTCATTCACACTGCATGAGCGACAAGCTGACGCTAGCCCGAGCCTCTCGCGGAGCCTTCGAAGTCCGCGCGCATAAGCCCTCTAACAGAAGTGGTAGAATAGTCGTACAAGTACAGGGGCAGAGCAACGCTGTGAAATCGCCATAGATAATGGAAAGGATCACGATGCCAGTGTGTCCTCCGCAGGGCCTCCTGACATCGTCCCATCTTCGTTCTCCACGGCGTCCATGCCATCGGCCCCAAGTGCCGGATTGGACTGCATGAACTGGTCGAGCAGAGTGGGTGCGCGGTTCTCCGCTGGCTTGTCCTTCTCTCCCGCGTCTTGCCTGGCCTTGGGTTCCCGCTTCGCCGTTTTTCCGACCTCAGACCACGGGAAGAGTTCTCCATAGTACCGGTGAGCCTCGAGCCTCACCGATCATCATTGTCCCATACCGCGGACGTACCTTCGAGGAACGCGAACTCCTCCGCTCTCCTCACGGTCGCGACTACCAACGCCAAACCATTCAGCTAAGCGGACAGTGAAAGACGGGGAACAAAGCAGAACACGTACCGATGTCCTTCTCCTGGACCGTCGTCCGCATCTCCCGCTCCGCTAACCGCTGCGCCGCCTCCGCCAACCGCGCAATGAACTCCTCCGTGGCGCGCGAGATGAGGAACGTCGCCTCGCGCTGGACCATGACCAGCTCCTACCCTCCGCCCCGATCAGTCACTTTCGCGGGAATCGTACTGAGCCTCGGGCGAGCGCACCTTGTCCGCCTTCAGGACCTTTTGCACTCTCGAGTAGGGTAGCACCGACTTGCCCGGTTCCCGCACGAGTGTATCGGGTGCTCTCGCTTTCTTCGTCTTCGCTTCCGAGGGTTCTAACTGACCATCCGCCGCCTGTGTGGCGCCTTGTGTGGACTCCTCGGTCTGCATCGTCTCCGAAACGAGAGTCTCTTCTTGCGCTGGTGTGACCTGGCGAGACATGGCGGGATTATAATCGACTCGCGGCACAGAGACGGTGTATGACAATGTTCTGGATCAAGTACAAGTATATCGGTGGGGGTCTATTGTGGAGGTCAGAGCAATACGCGTAATTTGGCGCGTGGGGCGCGCGTCAGACGCGACCTGTCACACCTCGCGCGTCCGGTCACACTTATGAAAACACACTGCTTGTAAGTTGTTGGCCTGCCAGACAGGCCCAACTCATAACTAAGAGTGATCCCCGTACCAAGGAAGAGACACTCGGGAAGGAATAATGAGGTTCCTCATATACTGCTAAGTAGCTACGTGATATGTACTCATGTACGCGATGCACGATCATCCATCGTCCACTCGAGAATGCAAACAGACAAACAGACAAGTAGAGAGGAAAAGGGATCTGGACGTGAGAGCTGTGACGAGGGTACTGGAGGACAGATGGAGATGGTCATGGTGATGTGGCGATAGAGGAGTAGGAAACGAAGGAAATGGTAGGGGGGAGGACTATGGGGAAAAGCAACGAAGGCCCGGGGTATGCGCGATCCATCATCCGCCCTTCCATATGCGCCATGGCGCAGCGCCGACATCAAGGGTATCAACAGTGTTCGTTCAGTGGAGGGCGAAGTAGGATACGACGCCGCTGACCGCCTGCGCGAACGGGCGGAAAAGACCCTCGATCTCGTCTTCGTCGGCGCGGTTCGGCGCGAAGTAGAAGCCGGACACGAGCACCAAGTAACTGCGTACGTAAACGCATGGTCAACACCGCCCTTCGCGCGCCACACCAGTGAGAAGGGGGTAGCTTACCTGAGAATGAGGATGCTCCCGCGGTGGTAGTTGCTCTTGGCCTCGATGTAGGTGTACGTCATCAAGAACACGGAGAGGATGATTGCGACGATGTCCCAGCGGGGGAAGATGAGCCTGTTTGTGGAACCCGGCCGTCAGCATCTGAACGGGAGATTCAGGGTGGATGAGACACGTACGTGAAGGTCTCCGCGACGGAGCCCATCCTCTCAGGTGCATACCATGCCGAGAAAGCGACCATGGCCGGGATCTGCAGCAGACACACCTGGAGCGCATATGCAGAGCCGATCTCCATACTACCAGCACTTGGTCAGGCCAGGGGCTTGATGACAAAGTGAATGGCGCGTACCTGAGCGCAATGTTGCCGTTCATTGCGAACGAGATCGCGTTCATGAACTCGGTGGTGTTCGGGACGAGCGCAAAGAGGGTCACTCCGAGGAACTTCTCGTCGATACCAGAGCCCTCCAAGACGACATCCACGACGTCGACAAGAACCTCTGTAAGGCCGCAAACGAGTAAGCATCGCACAGAAACAGCATATAGGCCAAGATGAGACGAACCCGCAATGATCGCATATAACGCCGTGCAGGCCAACAGTACGCTCGCACTCGTCGTCCTGCTCCATGACGGCGCGTCGTGCCCACCATGCCCGCCTTCATCTATCTCATGGCCTGACGCGCGCGCACGGGCGGGCGACCGCGCCTGCTGATGCCGGAGAGCGCTCACCGTCGCAACCGCGACCGCACGCGTGAACTCGTCCGTGGACATGCTGCCGGGGAGGGTAAGGGGTTGGATGCCGGAGTCCTTGATCGCGTGGTCGACGCTCTCCATGATGGGCGAGAATCCGTGCGTGTTGACCACAGGCGGGTTAGCGTACGAGATACGGCGCTGCATCGGTGGCTGCGCCGGTGCGGGTGGCACAGAAGGTTGGAGGGTGGACGCTGTGGGCGTAGCTTCTGATTCCTCGGGCGCATGTTCAACGACCCGGGGAACTGGTGTTTCGCTGCGCGAAGGTGCCCCGCTCTCGGTATGCGTTGTGATGATGCTCGGCTTATGGTGGAGACTGTTCTTGCTCTGGCCAGGGATGAGTCTGTGGTAGATTGAGACACGGTGCTGTCCTGGTCCGCCAGCGGGGGCGTTGAGCTCCATCGGGTGAAGCAGTTGCTGAGGGTTCTGCCAGATTTGACTCGCGTGCGTGCGTAGGGAAAACCACAAGCCAATGAGGTAAGACTTTGAGGGACGTTAGGGCGTATATTTGCATGCATGGGAACAAGAGTACGCACGAAGATGAGGATAACAGCACAAAAGTACATCAGGCTCTTGACCGTGGACTGGTAGAACGGATCATCGACCGGGTCAGGGTGCTTGTAGTAGCAGTGTTGGCAAACCCAGGGCTTGGTGAGCGACGACTCGTCATAGTCAGGACAACCATCGCAAATGAGTTCAAACTGCGGCTAAAGTGTCAACGCCTTGTCTTGGCAGCATATATGCACGGAACACGCCACTCACGCTTCCATAGGTCTGGTAGAACAGTGTAGGTGCGATCGTACCGATGAACGCCATGATCAGCAGCATACTGGTGACGCCCGCACTCTTCGCATTGAACTTCATCTCCTTCCTGCGCACTGCACCGCTGACCATACTCATTCCCGGCATCAGCAATACACCCGCGAGTAAACTGCCGACGATGGAGCCTTCAACGAGGTGGCCTTTGCCTTGGGTCAGTGCGATACCGTAGAGGATGATTTCGATGATGGAACCGAATGTCGCGTTGATCACCGCGCCCATGCCGATCGAGGATTGAGCGGAAATGGACGCGACAGCCATACCAATGAAGTATGACAGCGGAATGACGCTTGCCAGACTCATGATGAAGATCAGTGCGCGCGAAGTGATCAGCGTCAGGAGTGCGGGGACGTGCTTGCCGGCGTGCTCGCGGCGCTCTACAAGGGGCAGCAGCACCATACCGTCGAGGATGACAAAGAACACTATCGGCATAAGGTTGACGAAGATGATGTTGACACCGCCGACAGTGTACTTGTAGTACTTCCAGCCCCATGCACGGTACGTGCACAGAAGTACAGTCGACGTGGGTGAGCCTGAGGGCGCCGCTTGACCAGCGGAAAGGCGGGCATGCTTGAAGGCCACGGGTGGCTCGGGGTGCTCCTCGCCTTCCTCGCCCTCCTGGTGGTCTTCGTTTTGGCTCGGGACCGCCACAACGGGAGCCGCACAGAAACGGATAGACGTGGGATGTTCGACCAGGTGCTTGATGAGGGCCCAGTTAAGCCTCGCCATCGGGATAGTGAAGATGAGGAACCAGCATATCAGGGATACCAAGAGCATGAGAGGGGCGATGATCGAGATGAACGCGAGCCAGAAGCAAGCCTTCCCTAACCAATCCGCTGTCTTGTTCTCCTTGGACATACCGATCGAATACAGCGTCGACGAGGAGACTGTCGCACCGTAGGATTTTGCGGGTGTCAGTGGCGTGGGCCGACCGTTTGCGCCGGCGATGAGCGGCGTAGTCGCGCTGGGAGCGGACGGCACGCCCAGCCATGACTCTGAGCTGGCTTCCTGGGGGATAGCCGCCGTTCGAGGCGTAATGGTAGAATGCGCAGATGGAGACACGGGGCCAGTGGACGTGCCTGCACCGTTCTCGTCGGCAGCGTAGTCCCTGCCCTCCGCCGAGTCCGGCGAGATGCCTTGCTCCTCGTCTTCTGATAATGCGCCCAGCTCGCCCTCCACGTACTTGCCAAACGGCCAGGCGATATACCATCCCAGGCCAAACACGAGCGTGGAGTATAACCTGCCACCCTTGGGGATGACATATAACACTGCGGAGACAATGAAGCACGTCACCGCCAGCCACCAACCAAACGCGAGCAGCCAGAATATGTTGCCAGGTAGAAGATGGCGCTCAGCCTGCGCAGAAGGCACCGAGTGCAGCGCCTGGTCGGCGTAGCGCGTTACCGAACGGGACTTCTTGTACAACGCCGGCTTCCAGATGGGCAGACCGAACGGGTGCTCGACGTTGATGAGCGACTGGCGGTCCTTGAGCGTGATTGGGTCCTCTTCTCGGACCGAGCCCTCGCCGTCGTCGCCCTCGCCATCGCGCCGCTCGCCGTCCGCCGGCGGAGTGTCGCCCGACGAGTCCTCGTTCTCGTCGTCGCCTTCTTCCAGATTTTCGTCGTCCTCGTCGACGCCGCCCTCGCCG